GGTAAAAATTTGTATTTTCATAGATAATAATTTTTGTAAAAGAAAAAAATTAGTTAAGAACATTTACGTTGTTTGTTAATACCTAACGCGTGATCGTTTACGATTTACATATTTGGTTCCTGAATTTTTCCTACTCTTATTGTTTCTTCCATAAAATTTAGACGATTTGATAGCTGGCATTCGATCGAGGATCTTTTGTTTCTTATTTTTACGAGCATAGATACATATTTCAACGATGAGAATAAAAACACTCAAAATGATGCCAAGTTGTATTAAACAAATAAGAGTTATTACACTATTTAAATATATCGGAGAATGACGATTTCTTATATTATTATATTTTTTTTTAAATATCTTAACTTTCCAACGATTTATAATTCCAGTGTTGACAAATTTCTGCAAACTAGAATAAGTTCGTATTTAATTTTAGAATATATCCAAATAAAACAAAATTCATCTTATACTTACTGAGCATTAATGACACCCGTAAAGGGATAATTTTTGGATAAGATGAAAGCTAAATTTTCCAAAATTCCAGTTTTAATATAATTCACATTGCAAGGCATTTTAAAATATATATCTCTTTTCATATCGTAGTAAGAGTAGAGTGTTAATTTATGATTATCACAAATCTGTAATGTATAACGAGGAATATTATTTCAAAAACAATAATAAATATTTACAAAATAATATCACTTTTTGTTTTGTTTTTTTAATAACATTTCATCGTACTTTTCTAAATCCATCGATTAAATTTATCGGTAAATTTTCCTTTTCTATCATAAGCTTCATTATTTCCTTTGCTTGTGGATCCTTCGAACTCTACCAATAAACATTACGATATAATATAATTTTATTAATAATTATATAAGTTTGAAATGCGTATTAATACTTACTGCAAAAAAATTATATTTACTAGAATTACGAAAGACAGATATTTTGTAAGTACCATCATCAACGAAGCCTTGTAATGAATGGAAGGGGAAAATATGGGTTGTGGAAGTTAAAAAACAGATCAAAATCGCAGAATAAGCAGCCGATAAGACGACAGCCAAAATAAATATTGAGAAGTATGCTATTCTTAGCGAATAACTATCAGGAAAATCTAAAACGAATAAATATTTTTTTAAACAAAACAAAAAATAGGTAAGAAAATAATCTATAAAAATATTGAATACCAGCAAGTCCTTGTTGACAAAATATGCCAAGTATCTCGAAAAAAGTATCTGACAATAAAAGTCCAATTTTTTGATTGTTTCCATTCTTAATTTTAAGAAAAACTAATAATATTGATGAAGCAATTAATATTCCAATAATGGAAATCCAAATAAAATAAGAAAAAATCTGTAAGAATAAATAAATGTTTGCATTCGTGAAGATTATTACAGAAAAAATACAAAAATAATACATTCTATCGCAAATGATCATACTCGAAAATAAGATGACCATTTAATCGTAAATTTTTCTGGTTCTCGAAAGAAAAGATTATTTTCCCCTATTATAATAGGCAAGGAAAAATCAAAATTATTCATTCTAACACTGGTCATAGAAAAATCAGCAAGAGAAATATCGGCATGTCCTGAAATGATTTTGTTCAGGGCTTCATTCCAGCTATTCTCCTGTTTATTCCAACTTCCATGTCCGCTTACTTCCGAGATAATATAACTAAAATTCAGAGCCACGCTAAGTTCTTTAAATAATATACCAAATATACCGTCCAATTCGTTATCTTCATTTAGATTTATGAATTGTGATTCCTGAAGAAAGAGAAAAAAAAACAACAAGAAAAACACTTCAGTAAAAATATAATCAAAATAAATGTTTCGTAATAATTATAAAAAAAAAATATATCAATGTTACCTTAACAGTAACTACTCTTATTATTGAACCTCGTAAATTGTTTCTTCTTTCGTAAAGAGAACCTGAAACTCTTTGAACGAATCCTTCATCCGAATTCCATGTAGCTAAATAATCGATATCGGTTTGATTGGTATCGAGAGAATACCATTCGCTTAAAGTATTTTCCGTACCGCAACGAACCAACATTTCCGTATTGAATGTTAAATGAAAAATATTACCAGGTGGACTGTGACAATAATCTAACCCGTGACCTTCGTAGAAAAATATCACAAGCCATATCGGATAAGACATATCAAATGTACTAGTTGCTAAAGAAAACTCATTAATTGAGTCGTAATTAGTAATTATTGCGATGTAATGCGGTCGTAAGATTTGCTTAACGTAATACGATGATTTGTGCAATTCTGAAAAATACAAATTGGTGGTTGTGAAACCTTCGCGAGAAAGGGCACGTGTCCATTTTAACAGCATCGTGGTCATTTCCATGTCTGAAGAAAAATAAAAGGAAAACATAGAACGAATGAAACAAAGGTAAATATAAGAAAAAAAAAGTATACGTACCTTTCATCGATTTGGCGTGTAAAAAAATGATAGATTTCGTTCCATAAAATTTGCATACATCGATGATGAAAGGAATGTATTGATCACCAATGGAAAATAATTCAATTGATAGAACAATATTCGAGAAAAGAATGAGAAATAGAAATATTTTTAATCTCACGTCTAATGTCATTATTTTTTTTTTTATTAGTCGACTACGTTTTAAGAAAGTTATTGGAAAAATTTCGTGCTATTATAAAGAAAGATCACACTAGACTGAATTCATAAACTCTTTACAAGATTATCATCACTTTGAATTTTAAAATAGTCATGTTTATCAAAATGTACGTGACATGTGAGTATTGTAAAAGAATAATACACCTTTTTATTATCATATGATTATATAATAAATTCTTTTCAACAAAAAAAAAAAATAATGAAAAGAAAGAAACAAAAAGTGGCACTTTCATTAAAATAATTGCATAGCTATTCTAATCGATATTAACGAGGAACAAACCTTTCATAAAATGATTTTTAAACATGATATATAGTTTTTCTTATTATTTATTCTATTTTATTAATAGGTCAATAAAGAAAAAATTTAAATGCAGTTATTACAATAAAAAGATAATAATTATCATATCAATTTGAATAAATAAACAAAATACTATTATTCTTTTCTATTTTATTCTAATAACATTAAACAATTACTTTTCACTATGCATAATTTAATATAATAGTGTATACGCGTGATAATAAACTCTATTCTAATTGCTATCACAAAAAATTAAACAATCTGATGTAATTGATTGGCTTTTTATAAACAAAGATATTTAGTACGTGTTATTTAAATTTATTTTTACTTTCTGTTAAATTACGCAGAAACACATATTTATTGGGAATAAACATTTGCGTTGTTTCTAATATTTTATTGTGCGAATAAACTTGATATTACCGTAATTTTAAATAATTATTTGTTAACGGATTATAATTTCGCAGATATAAGGAATCTAAAATTATATAATGATACGATATGTACGATCAAATATATATAGAACAATACTAGCCTCAAAACATGCCATAACGAGAAGAATAATAATTAAGCCACTCCAATTTGCAAAAATTGTTTGTAATATTTGTTAAACTTTTCTCTTCATTTTTTAGAAAGTTCGGAAGATTTAATCGATGGTACAAGATCTACCATTAATTCTTTGTTCATTTTATAAKCATGAACATATTTTTCTACGAATAGAATGCAAATACTAATAATGATGCCGATTAGGACGAAAACAAATAATGATATWACGATATTCAAGGAAACTGCAATATGCTCCTTTATCGGCCGTCGGAATTTTTTTTTATATGTAGTATCTTYCAAACGATTTAACATTCCATTATTGATAAATTTCTGCAAGCTGAAATATGTTTTAGTTTTTAATTACGATCAGTGAAAATTAACAGATACTTATTCGTCAAATACTTACTGAAAATTAATAAGATCTGTGAATGCATTGTTTTTTGATAAAACAATGGATAAACTTTCTACMCCTCCTACGTTTACCGAAACTACATCGCATGGCAAATTAAAACTTAGGTCATCTTTTATTATATTGTAAATAAGCACCGTCAGTTTTTCATCCTCACAAATCTGTAATTATTTAACATWATTAAAAATATAGCAAATAAAATAAATATAATAAGAACAATTATTTGATATTTTCTGTAATAGTTTCGTCATAGTATGGCTTGGTGCAAGTATTTTTGAATATAAATTCAATTGTACGTAGAGTATTGTGACATTATATAAGTTCCCTATATGGGTCCCCAATAACGAAACGATTAAATAGGTTATCGTACTAAATTAATCGCATCCWGCACGGTAACTGGTAATTTGTCCTTTTCGATCATAAACTTCATTAATTCCTTAATTAAAGGTTGCTCCGAATTCTGCAAATAAATTTGTATGACACATACTTGTAGTTATTTTTTTAGCACAACATAGGTAATAGGTACAATACAACATAATATTTACTGCAAATGAATCATAATCAGCTGAACCATGAAAAACGGCAAATTTATAAGTGCCATCTTTAACAAAAGTCTCTAATGAAGAAAAAGGTAACGTATGGGTGGCAGATGTTAAAATGCTWGTCAAAGACGCAGAATAAGCTGCCGATAATACGGTAGCAAAAAGAAATATAGAAAAGTATGCTATTYTTAATGAAGTTCTTCCAGGAAAATCTAAAGTWAACAAAYATTTTTATAAATATTGTTRCGWAGRTARTAAACTTTTAGATAGAAGATAAAAAAATAAATTRAAACCTTCAAGACCCTGTTGACAAAAAATACCCCAAACTTCCAGAAAACTATCGGATCCCAAACGCATAAGATCACGATTGCTTCTAATTTTGATTTTGAGAAATATTATTAAAATTGATGCTGCTGTTAGTATTACAAATATAGTGAT